TCTTGGGGATCGATTGTTGTCCAGCTCTTTATTTAAATGCCGGAGATGGAAACCTAACCAGTAACGTGCAGTGGGGTACCAGATTTTTTTGTCGCCATTTATAAGGTCTTTTATATGGTCTAAGTGCAAGGCATGTATTTTAAGTTGTATATTAATGGCATTGAGACCACCTTCTCTAGTTTTATTGCTCATTATAGTTCTTTTTATTTTGTCAGGCTTGTTTTTCCATATTAGTTTATATCCTATTGTTTCGAGTTTTTTCAAACTATCTGTTGGAATATTTGTCGTGGTGCCGATATAAATGAATTTACTGCACATCTTTACGTTAAAGATTTTAGCTCTTCCTATTATGCTGATGTCTCGTTGTTCGTTAGCTTGAGCAATATGCTTACACTTTTCTAATTTCTTATTGATCTCTTCTTCGATGTTGTATTTTCCAAAGTAGGCGCCCAGAATTTTAATGTTGTCAGTCCACGTTAAGCCCCCATGAGGGTATATAGGTTTATTTACCCAGCTTCCAATTTTTATTCCTATTGTTTTAGATGGGTTAATAATAAGTCCCGATGCTCTTTCAAACTGTTTAATTACATGGAAGAGGTGTCTTACGCTTTTCTCGTCACTGGACATTACGGATAGGTCATCGGCATGCGCCACACATTTAAAACTTTTCTTTTCGGGTGGGACTCTAATCCCGTTTATGTGCTTGTTTTCGTTAATAGCTCTTATCAGTGGATCAAATGCTAGAGTAAACAGTGTCATTGACAGTGGGCATCCTTGCCTCACCGATCTTTCTACCCTGAATGTGTCCGAGAAGTTACCATTTATTATTATCCTGCTACTAATATTTTCATAGATGGTTCTTATCATGTTAGTGAAGCTTTTGCCGAAGTTAAAATTTTCAAGAACATGCAGCATGTAATCGTGTGATACTCGGTCGAAGGCATGGTCCATATCAATGGATATTATGCTTCCCGGTGATTGTTTTTCGTTTATATAATCTATGATATTTCTTAGATGATGGATGTTGTCCTGAATTTTTCTTCCTTTGACGGCGCATGACTGTTCTATAGAAATAATATCCGGTAATACCTGTCTTAAACGATTCGTCATAATTTTTGTTATTATTTTATAATCACAGTTAAGAAGCGATATTGGCCTGTAGTGTTTTAATTCGGTAGGGTTTTCTATTTTTGGAACGAGTTTTATTATACTTTGTTTCATGCTATTGGGGAGTCCGTGTTTGAGGCTGTAGTTTATCATTTTTACAAAGTTCGTCATAAAATGTTGGCTGCATGTTGTATAAAATTCTTTTGTGAGGCCGTCACTTCCAGGAGCTCTGTTGTTGCTCAGACTGTTAATTGCTTTGATACATTCATCCTCAGTCACTTCCGCTTCGAGCATTTGTTGTTGCTGCTCCTGTATTTTTGGCAAATCGTGTGTAAACTTTCTCACCGCTTCTAGCGATATTTGTTGTTTTGTGTATAGTTTCTCGAAGAAAGCTTTACATTCGTTCAAAATTTCTGTTTGGTCTGTTAGTAATTGACCATTACCTCCGTTTAACTTTGTAATGTCATTTTTTCTGTAGTTGTTTTTCTCAATTCGAAAGAAGTATTTCGTGGGTTTTTCATTGCTTTCAATTTTTTTCATCCTTGATCGAATTAAGGCACCTTCCATGTGTTCTCTCTCTGCTAGGTTAATTTTTTCTTTCAGGCAGGCTATTGTTTCTTCGTTCTGACTATTTATATTGTTCATAGTGCTTCTTAATTTTGCTTTTAGTGAGTTAATTTCCTTTTTCTTGTTACTATTTCTTTCTTTGCATTTTCGAATGATAAAGTATTTAGAGTCTAGTTTAAAACTATCCCACCATTTCCTTATGTCAGAATCTATGTTTTTCTGATGTTTACTGCTAAAATCTTTAAAGCTGTTACTGAAATTATTTTCTTTTAATATAGAGGCATTGCACTTCCAGTATCCTTTTCCCTTTTTAGAGATAGCATTGGGGAGTATGTTCGCGGTGACCAGCTGATGATCGGAGTAAGAACAGGGTATTATATCAGTCTGTTTAACGTGTAATTTTAGCTCTTTCGAGAGTAATATTCTATCAATCCTGGTGCTGCATTTGGCAGTAATGTGCGTGAATTCCAGAGTGTCGGGATGCTGATCTCTCCAGATGTCAGTTAACATATAATCAGTCATAGCGGTTTTCAATTGTTCCGCTGTTCTAATGGATGTGTTTGGGTCACCGCCTTTTTTATCTCTTCTTGCATCCAATATGCAGTTCCAATCCCCTGCCATTATTAAATAGTCATACCCCGTTTTTACATAGTTGTCGATATTCTGGAAAAATATTTTTCTCATGTGCCCATCTGTCGGCGCGTAGACACTTATTATACGGAATTTTTTGTTGTTTATTTTAACATCAATTTTACAAATTCGACCCTCGGCATCGTACTCAAAGCCTGCCGTCTCGAAACGTTTTTGTATGAATATCGCTGTTCCACTGCTTTGTTGAGTACCGTACGACCAAAAACAGTTATATTTACTGTTTACTTTTCTTTCAACTTCGATGGCACTGGCTTTGTTGGATACATGTGTTTCCTGTACGAGTACTACATCGAAGTTACTATGACAAAGGTTCCACAAAAATACATTGATTCCGCGTTTCTTCAGACCATTTATGTTAATGCATCCTAGATTCAGCTCCATTCTTGTCGCATTTAAGAAAGAATAACCCAGTTAATTTCGTATTATACAATACTCAGGTTTGAGTCTCATGAATTTTATATTCAGCAGGGGTATCTATATCTCCTGCTGTGTCTTCTGTCATTATATCTGCCCAGCTGGATAAATTTTGAGAACCTTCATCGCTGATATCGAAGTGTTCATACTCCATATCCATGCTGTTCCCTTTATTTGACTGTTCATTATTTTTTATCGACTCGTCCGAAAGCGAGGTCTTTCTTATTCTTTTACTTGGGTCCTTGTCACGACAAGTATTATTTAATTTTGTATCGCTACTAATTTCCGAGTTTGCCAATTTGTTACTTGTAATATTTTTGGTTCTTTCGCTTCCTTTTCGCTTATTCTTTTTCGTTTGTACTAGCTTGAACCCTTCCGTGTTGTTTATTTCTTCGGGTTTGTCAGTACTTATTTCCGGTCCATTTGTTTCATTGTTTTCTTGCTGTAACTTCTCTTTTGTCTCTACCCTTTTACTATCGTCGCTTTTGTACTGTATTTCCGTTGCAGATTTCCTCAGGCGCGAGGCATAGGTCGGTCCTACACAAAGCAAGGTGTCATGGCCGAAATTTTTGCATTTAGAACAAAAGGGAGTAGAACAATTTTTCTTGATATGGCCGGTTTGACTACATCTTAGGCATCTCGGTACGCGATTTTTTATCACTAATAACGCTGGGAAATTACATAATATAAATGTATGCGGAAGCATATCGACATTAAATCCTTTTTTTAATTTTAGAGTGACCAGTCTTTTGCCACTCAAAATGTGTTCTAGGCCCGGCTCGTTTGATTTTTCCTTTCTTATTTCAATTTTATCACAGAATTTTTCTAGAATACTCCTTAGATAACTATCTGGTACTTCTAGAGGTAACCAGTGTACTTTTCCCTCAACAAGATCTTCAATTACTGGTTTAATGATGCATTTACTACCCGATACTTCGATTTCTCCGAGATTCAAGATTAAACTTCTTACCTCCTCGTTGTTTAACGTTAATATCCATTTCCATTTTTGTTGTAGCGGTCCAAGTCCAATAATATCTTTACTGTCGACCGTGTCTTGTAACGCCGTAACGAAGTCCTTTTGTGTAAAATGACCAGAAGCACGTGGCAATTCTAACAACACAGATTTACTGAAATCAAGTAGATTTTCCATAGCTACTTACTATTTAATTTTAAAATTTACTCAAAAGGTAACGAATGATTGTATTAATAAGCAAAAACACTAATATAGAGCATACAGTGAACGAAGCTAGGAGCTCGTCGAAAACACGTCTTACTCCTAGGCCCGACGCTGCTTGACTTCGGTGATCAGACGAGAACCGGTATTTTCAGCGTGGTGTGGCCGCTATCGAAAGTTCGGTTCTCTTATGCTCTCTTTTATACACATTTGCTTGTTAATGTTATACACCTTTCGTTTCATGTGTCTTTCTCCAAACACGCTCACTGCTTACAAATCGCAATTCTCTCTAAATTGTGGTAAACATAATTAATTTATCATTTCAATATTCGCGACATTATAATGCATACAACTCGTAACTTTTCCCATCCACACAGAGTCATTTACAGATTCATTTGAGCTAACTTGAGTGTTATTTCTTGATCCAGAAATAGTAGATTAACTTTTACTTCTATGTCGTAAGGTAGAAGAATTACAGGAGTCGTACTGCTGCACATGAAGTGAGGTATTTCAGAATGTGTGTGTGTGTGTGTGTGTGTGTGTGTGGAAAAACGAAGGGACACTGTGAGAAATGAACAAATGCTAGAGGAATGTGGGGTGAAAGAGTGTGGTTTAAAAAATTCGGCTCTATGACGGTTTGAATGAGAGAATGAAAGGAGAACTGTTGGAGAGTGTATACCGGTGTTTTGACATTCTATCTTTACGAAGACAATAGTTAATTAAAAATTAGAAAATTAAGCCTCGTTTAAATACTGGCTCCCTTTCATGGTCGAGCCAGTGTTGCCAGCTAAAACACGTAAAAATAATATTAAAGTAGCCAAGACATAGCCAAATATTGTAGCGCCACATCACTAGCGGACATTTGAAATTTGCCGACTAGGACGGTCGGTTAATCGGGGGTCGGATAATCGAGGCTCTACTGTATAACGTCATCGTTTTGTTACATTATTGTTTCTAACGTCAAGGTTGACGGCAATTTCCTTTATAGCGACTTTGCTAAACTGTATGATTATAGGCCTACAGTAACATATAAATGGACTATCTGTATTCATGCAGTCCTTATCCCGAACAGTTTGTAGATGTTTATCCGTAAGGAATGTTTCAGCCCAGGCAATTCTGTTACACGGTGTGGGCAGTCACCTACCACAAGGCCCTCTGTTCCATCTATAAGGATGTAGTAAGCACAGAATTCTAAGGAGTGAGGAAATAGTAGGGCTTTAGAATTTCCTCAATTTCCTCACTCCTTAGAAACGAAACAGACTCCATCGAGAGAAAATATTACCTCGGCGGAAACAACTTGAAAGGTTAGAAATCTACAAAACCTTCGGGAAAAGGACGGTAATTAACTTCGAGGAGGCAGAGTCTGTTTCGTCAGGCTTGAGAGCATATAAAAAGTTATAAGCGAAGATTTCTTTTTCCAATAGTGAGATTAGTAATATTTATCACGTCTTTCTCAATTTGGTAAGCCCGAAGCTTACCAAATTAATATATCCAATTTCTTTTGAGAGAACAGCTGAAGTTACAAACATGGTTCGGGTATCAAAATAAAGCTTTTGCCCTGTAGATGAGTCCATTACAATTAGAAATGAAAACTTCAGAACAGTTTGGGCGTGGTGAAGCAGTAAAGTTACTGTTAATTCTACGAGAAGACAAGCGTGCATCTACTGATTTATTTATTTAATTTTTAACTGTTAGAAAAACCGTTTTCCACCCCTACTCTGAATAGCTGCTGCTTTTTAAATTATGCATTAATTAAAAGACTTCTTGTATTGTTTTATATATACACTATTTATTTAAATAATAAAATTAAATTAAGAGTTATTTTATTTTTGATCTAAGCTGTTTTGTATGTATCAGTAGAATAAACATATGTACTTTATAACATTAAAAAAGACAATAAAAGAAAAATGATTAACATGATAAGACCGGCCACCACTACACGCTAAACGGGAGCCGGAGAGTTGAAGTTGGAAGGCCTTAAGAATGCCAAATTGTCACCTTGTGACCCGAATGCCTCGTGGTATCGGAGAACAGATAGATGGGCCTGAAAAACAATCTCTTTACTGATGATTTTTGTATAGAACACCAAATTTTAAATGAGCTCATTATGTTTTAATTGAATAAAACCGTCGATTTCGACGAGTTCCTAGTAGTAATAATAATTCCAGCAATAACAATGCTGCGGTTGTATTTCTGGAATTTCGTCGTCGTAAGAATTTATGTCAAAGACCATTCACTCTACAAGCTATCAGGAAAATGATCGCTTGATTCCTTGAAAATTGACATCTGGCGATTGGCTTGATGGTCGAGCAATTAAAATGTTAGTATACTGCTCTGAAGGACCCGAGAACGAATCCAGATGGATCGAAAAGCCTCCGGGATTTTTCAGGAAATGTCTGAGTCCCGTCTTTAATACTCAACTGCTCCATTGTGGACTTGGTTGAACGCATAATGGACTTAGTGAGCAAAAAGGAACTCTTGGTGTTCTGAAACAGGAAATAATAATAATAATAAAAAAACAATCGATCGAAGGCGTACACCTATAACTTTAGATATCGTTAACGATGTTATTGAACAGTCAATGAATAATGCTGCAGGCTCAAATAGTGTGCGTACATTCTCACGGCAGTTGAATGTATCCTATGACACAGTACAAAAGGAGAGTTGGTGAATTGTTATTCGTATATGCCTTTATAATGCCACAACTGGTGGTTTATTTTTCCCGAGAAAAGAAATTTGCTGACTTTTGTTTTGACTTTCCTGAAACATCCATCTGTCAGGAAAGTCGAGAAAAAAATGGGTTTTTTTGTCTTGATGTTTCTGGACATAAAAGATCTCGCGGAGAGATGAGATACATATGACAGCAAATATCCATAATTATCTCATTTGGACTATAAAAAGTGAAAATTTTCGATATATTTCACTCCATTCGCCTAAAGTCTGCTGTGTATTCATGGCCACGTTTCTACTTGGACCATTCTTCTTCAAAGAATCCAGTTTTAACGTGGGCTATGCTTGTAATGCTTACGCCACATTCGAGCCTGTGACATGTTCTGTGATGGCCCAAGAGATATTAAAAGATACTCAACATTTTTGTCGTCTCCTGCATTTCGTACCGCTTGGCCACTTCAATAAACCACACTTTTTAAATGTGGTTTATTGAAAACATGCTGCAAATTTGGCAGTCTTGAAAGTCAGCATGTGAAAAGCGTCATAGAAATCAATTATGATTGGCTATTGAATATATTATTCATCACTTACAGGTTTTTACATCTTCATAATGGGGACCACATCCTGCAGTATTCTCTGCACCATCAATGGTTGTTGCTTTCAGAGCCAAAAGTAGTGAGTTTTGGTACTAATTATTTCTTAAGAAAATGTCTTCCGCATGTTCTGAAATATCATTTACTAGATTTGATTGAATTTGGACTGCTAGATACATCTCTAGACAGTGTTGATTAGTGGTACTTTAATCACGATCACCCAGTATATTTTTTTAAGGTTGCTTTCATACTAACTTATTACTTAAATCTTGGGCTGCTAAAGACAATTTTCTTATGGTATGAAAGATAGGGTCTGGTATAAATTTCACCCAAACAAATTGTATAAGTTTGATAAAATTTATGCATTTCATTAATTAACTATTAACTTTAATGATTACTTAACTTCTAAAATTTCATGTCCTGTATTATTGTAATATTTTAACTATATTTAACATTGCTTTTGTCCATTTGAATAGTTAGTAACATTTTAGTATTTTATGTTTGATTTTTTGTGTAAAACATTCATCATTTAATGTAATGTAACTTATTATAAAGTACTTAATTTTAAATATTTAATTTTAACTAGGGTTTCCAGATGTCCCGGATTTTTTCTGACTGTCATCTAACGACAGAGGACTTTATTCTAAAAACTGTATTACAATAAAGTATCTTTTTCTTTTTCTACATTTTAAATGTATTTCTGTCACTGGCATAATAAAAATACACATCCTGGGAGCATAGTCTCGAGATAACACCAGACTAAACACCATTCAAGTCCTAGAATTGAAGCAGCATTCCAGTGTCTTTCGGGAAGGACTCATTTTGTCCCTGTTTTTATCCCAAATTATAACAAATTTTATCTTATAAGCTTACTTCTAATGCGTTTGATATGCATACGCGTAGAATGAAAAGCTATTTCAGGATGTAAAAACTGTATTCATTTACATTTTCATGCAATTTCATTATTATACATGCCGCTTTTTCGGACACCAAAAGCAAACAATGATGAAAATAAAGGGGGGATTAGCTGTTACACGAATGAAAAATTTAACTAGAATTTTTTTTTTTTTTGAATTTTTCATTTTTTAAATAGAAAATTAGTAAAAATTTAAAAAAAACAAACTGAAGAAAGTATTAAACATTATAACATAATTATTGCTTAATAATCGAGAATCTGAAGCTGAATAATTAATAAAAAAATATATAAAAAATTGCAAAGATTATACTAAGATTACAAAGATTAAACTTCATGATAAATTTTGAAGTCTACTTCAAAATTTATCATAAAGTTTAATGTTTAAGAATTTTTAGAGAATAGAAGACAAATCGGTTGTTTTTGCAGATTATAAACTTATTAAATTTTGATTATTCTCTTTAACAGTTATTTAGAATGCAATTAGTGTTTAACCCGTGTTTAAAATCCACAATAATAAAATAAGAAAATATTCAATTTTAGAAAGAAATCTTTTATACATTTGATAAAAAAGAATAATGTAAGATATAAAAATTAAACAAAAAAAAACTGTTGATATTAATCTTTATTCTTCTTTAGCTTTTGTTGATTTTTTTTAATATTTAATTTGCAATAATTTAAAATATTTATTTTAATTTTATTTATTTATATGTGTTAAATATTTGATCGGTGGCAAAAAAAAACAAATAAAGTTTAATTCAAATAAAAATGTGCTAATTAATTAAATTAATTGTTACGAA